AAAATTCAGGGGAAAAAAACAACAGAAATTTAGGTAACACAAACTATAATCGTCATTTTCTCAAAATAGAAACCCCCTTCAAAGGGCTGTTTTCCTAGTCCATGATCCATATGATCTGTATATCGATATGTTAAATCCAGATTTATGGGCCGAGGACCCCGTAATAATTCATGTAACCCATTGTAAAAAATGTAAAGCATAAAGACCGAGGCCAGGCCTCACTCTTAAAAAAAAGGTGAAAAAATTTTTTACCATCTCTAAGTGCAAGTATCTTTAAATAATTCAAATAAAATACTTTTGAATTAAGATTTTACTGCTGATTAATACTTTTATTAAAAAATTAATAAATACAAAACACGCATTTCAAATTTCAGGAAATTTTTATAAACTTATTTTAATTAAATTAAATATAAAAAATTTACATATAAAATTTAAGTATGTCAGCTATTTAATCAATAAATACCGAATTAAAAAAAATTCTATGTAAGATATGTAAATTTATTTTTTATCCGTTGAATCAGGGTTTTCGCCATATTCTTCATCAAATATCGGATCTGACATCTCTTGTGCATACCACATATCTCCATAAAGACTACCTTCTTTTTGTAGAAGGCCATCATGAGTACCATGCTCGACAATAACACCATCACGTAGTACAAAAATTTCGTCTATTTTTTTTTATAAGCATTAATTCATATGTTGAGTATAAAATAAATAAAATAAATTAAGGCAATAAAAATACTAATGAACTACATGCCTGCATCTGAAATAGTCTTTAACCTATGTGCAACAAACATGCTTGTTTTGCTCTTTTCCTGAAGTATGCTTCTTATGTTAGTAAGTAATGACTGTTCAGTATGAGTATCTAACGCCGAAGTTGCTTCATCAAAAAAGAGTATTGGGGGGTCTTTTAAAATTGTTCTTGCTAAGGCTACGCGTTGTTTTTCACCTCCTGAAAGCATGAAACCACGTTCACCGACACGAGTATTATATTTATCGGGTAATGATTGGATTACATCATGAATTTGAGCCCTTTTTGCAGCATTTTCTACATCACTGGAAGTGGCATCAATTTTTCCATATAATATATTATGATAAATGGAGTTGTTAAAAAGAGCGGTGTCCTATTAACACATTGGTCAGTTAGATAAATGTAGTTAGGATTCACAAATGTTTAAAATTTTGTCATTTAATGTTTAGGGCAGCCTAAGCGGAATTTGCTTATGCTGGGATTTTAACCTATTTTAATAAACAACTTTGATAATTTTTTTAATATTTAGGGTAATCTTATTAATGAAAGAGTACGTGTGAATTTTAGTAGATATATATTATAAATTTAAAGGAAGGTCCCAAATCCCAGTATAAGTAAATCGCATAAACTGCAACAATATTTATTACCTGCGGAACCACGCCAATACTCTTTCTTAAACTTTCCAAAGTGACCTTTTTAATGTCTTGCCCATCAATATATATATTTCCAGATTGGGGATCAAAAAATCGAAATAGTAATCGTAATATGGTCGATTTTCTAAATATAAAAAAAGTTTTTTGATGAAAAAAAATTTTTGAGCAAATAATCAAATATGGTAAAGAAATTATTTATTTTCATAGATTTACCCGCATCCACTTGGTCCTACAATTGCTACCTTTTTTCCTCTTGGAACAATAAAATTAACACCATTCAAAATAGGACGTTTAGGATGATATCCAAAAATTACATTTTCAAATCTGATTTCGCCTCCTTGGACAATGAGCGGTTTCACGTCAGGCGTGTCCTGAATTGTAAGAACAATTAATTTTTCAAGTTACATATAAAATATGTAAAATGTATGTAATGATAATTTAATGGGATTTTCAATACCTTGATAGTGATGTTCATGGATTTTAAATTAAACATAACGTCCATATCAATCAAGCTTTGTCGTAATTCCCTATAAACTGAACCAAGGAAGTTCAAAGGCAATGAAAGTTGAAATACAAGTTGATTAATCATCACCAGATCACCAACAGTTAGTGTTCCTAATAAACATTAAGAATGAATTAAATTAAGAGCAAAAATTATATATTAAAATCTAAAAAATTAAAAAGAATTTTAATACCTTGAACAATTCCTTGAGCAGCTAAAGCCATCATAGCTGTTAAGGCAGTACTAAAAATGAAATTTTGACCAGAATTCAAAAGGGCCAAAGAAGTTGCTATTTTGAGAGAGGCCTTTTCATATTTATTTAAGGCCTTATCATATTGTTCAGTTTCAAATCTTTCATTATTAAAGTATTTAACAGCTTCAAAATTTAATAAAGAGTCCACTGCCACTGTTGCAGCCTCATTATCAGCTTGATTTGCCTCTTTACGAAATTTGGTACTATTATGTCATCGTTAATTTAATTGTCAACATATATATATATATATTAATAAGATGTAAGTTTAATTATAAAGTTTACCGCCATGAAGTTGTCTTTATTGTGAATGCAGCGTATGTTGCCATCGTCATTATGGTTACAGTTGCGAAATTTGTACCATAATTTTTGATCTAGAAATTGCAAACGACCATTGTATTATAATTAATTATAAAAAAATTTCATTATAATTAATAAAGAAAATGGCCCTCCGGAACTACATGGATTTTATAAAGATTAAATTTCTATCTGTCAAATAATCCGATCTAATCTTTTTTTTTTTATTTTGTAGAGTTTACCGAGCTCCACGAAATAAATAGTCAAATTTAAAATAACTTACAGTTTCAAAGGGCCAATTTCTTAGCAAAGAAGATTCCAAATATTAAAATTCATATCCTACCAAAATACCGCAAACTATCGCGATTTCCAAGGCTGTCGGTAGCACGTGGAATACGAGAGAAGAAAGCAAAAAACTGATACCTCTAATTTAGAGCGTTGGTTCGAATACCAAACGTTACTAAATGAATGATGGAGCATCGAATTTCACAACAATCGATTGTTGTAATATAACTCCATAAAAGTCTAATTTGTATACCTTGGATATATCCCTAATTCATTTAAATTAACCATGATACCTGCATGGGGGATACGCTGTATGGAAACGAATATGTTTCACTATATCTACTTGCATGATACATATGTTATATATCATGCTTAGGCAGCCGCATATAAATCACCAACTCTTAAACAAATCAGACTTCTATGGAAATTATATTGATGGATATTTACTTAGTTCCACGATCAATAGCTCTACTCAAACCACCCGTCTGACGTTTGAGATGGAAATCCAAATCTAATTGATGTAAGTGATAAAAAACATTCTTGGCAACTTTTCGAATAGCTTTTTGCGCTACATTAGCGAATATTGCATTACGAAGTTCAGAGAATAAGGTTGAACCAATACGTGCAAGACCATCTGAAATATAGAAAAGTCAAGAATTTATTATAAATTGAATCTTTTTTTTAATAGTGAAAAAATTTAATGTTACATGAATTATTACGGGGTCCTCGGCCCATAAATCTGGATTTAACATATCGA